TGCTAAGCGAAATAAGCCAGGCAGAGAAAGACAAACATCACATGATCTCGCTTATCTGTGGAATCTAAAGAACTTAATAAACTAATAAACAGAAATGACTCAATGACATGGAAGCATGGATCAGACTGACGAATGTCAGAGGGATGGAGGAGGGTGGGTGGGTGGAGGAGGAGAGATTAACCAAAGAATTTATATGCATATATGCACAACCCAAGGACACGGACAACGGTGTGGAGAGGGACTGGGGAGGGCATGGGGCGGGGTGGAACGGGTCATTGGGGAGAAAAAGGGACATCTGTAATATTTTGAATAACAACAACAAAAATAAATAAATAAATAAATAAAAAACTTCAGCTCTTCAAAGATAATGTTAAGAAAAGAGAAAAGACAAATCACAAACTGGAAAAAAAATACTGAAAAGTTGTACCTAAAATATATAAGAAATTTTAAAACTTGATAATGAAGAGGTAATTCAAAAAATGGCCAAAAGCCTTAGACAAAAGAAGATAGGCAAACAGCCAACAAGCACATGGAAAGATGGTCAACATTATTAGTTATCCAGGAAATGCTAATTACCACAATGTCACAACATTTCACATGGACTGCAATGGCTAAAATAAAAAAGACTGAAAATAAAGTTTTGGAGAGATGTGATTCCTAGAGGAATGAAAATATATCGCACAAAGATTCTACATTAATGGTCACAGCAGCTTTATTCATAATACCATCAATCTAGAAACAACTCAGATGACCCTCAGTAAGTGAAAAGATAAAGAAATTGTGGTGTACTCTTACAACAGAAAACTAATTAACGATAAAAATAACCTCGAAATGAATATGACACTGGATGGTGGCAATATTAAACAATGTGATTTTTTATATTGTATAATGAAATATGTAAATATTTGGAAGAAGTGTGTAACTCAGTGAAGCAATACTTTTCAAATGACCCAAAAAATGATATTTCAATATCTTGAGCTGCTATCATTATTTTTATTATTGCTATTTCCTAGAGAAGCAAAGCAAAACAAAACTCAAAACTTGTTATAAAAGTCATTTTGAATCAAAGTGTGTTATAAAGGATGTGCATTAGAAACAAATAACATAAAATTTATCATCTTATCCATTTTTAAGTATACTGTTCATTGGTATTAAATATGTTCATAATATGCTACCATCACCACCAACCATTTCCAGAACTCTTTTTTTTAATTTTTATTGCTGACAGAATTACAGATGTCTCCCATTTTCTCTCTTTTTGCCCCCCACCCAACGCCCGCCCTACCCCAGGCCTTCCCCATATTATTGTCTGTGTCCATGGGAGAACTCTTCTCATTTTGTAAAACTGAAACTCTATATCCATTAAACAATAACACCCCGTTCCCTCCTCCCCCCAGTCCCTGTGAACCACCACACTACTTCCTGTCTATGGTTTTGACAGCTCTAAGTACCTCATATTAATGAATCACAGTATCTTCTAGCGACAGACTTATTTTACTTAGCATAATGTTCTCAGGATTCATCCATGTTGCAGCCTAGGTCAGAATTTCCTTCCCTTTTAAGGGTGAATAATACTCCATTGCAATATATGCCACATTTTGCTCATCCATTCATGTGTTGATGAATACTTTCTTTGCTTCCACATTTTAGTTCTCGTGAATAATGCTGCTATGCGCATAGGTCTACAAATATCTCTTCAAGACCTATGTTCAGATTAGCTTTTGATAAATTAAAAGATATCACAGCAAAAATCAACCTCACATCACAATGATCCTAGCAAGTTCACATGAAAGCAAAGAAAAAAATTAGTAAAGAGGGACTTACCATATATTCACTGTATATTAAAACCACAAATATATAAGAATTTAATAATACAATCTAAAGAACATTTTGCTGATCTGGTGTTTTACGCATCTGAAATCTCTTTTCGCTAAGGGACATGAAAATAATTTATCTGACTCCTAAAGCATTTATATTTTGCTCTTCACTCTGCACCCTCCTAGGGGAAAGTGCTTTTGAGAAGTTCGTACCTGGATAAGATGTGTTGGCACTGTGATGACGCAGGCTGAAAGCGAGGCTCGTAGGAGGCCACGGAGGACGTACAGGAATTTTGTAAGGCCATGACTATTGTCACAGTTTTCGGTGCAGCAGACGTCATCTCCCCACAAAGGTGAACCAAGACTCTGGATTCCTATTCTCAAAATGTTTTTCTGTTTTTTCTAAAGGAAAGTGGAGGAGAGGGAAACACATTAAGTTTTGTTAACCAATAGGATACCTCTTTTACTTTTGCCAGTTCTTAATTTTATTTATAACAAATCAGGGAGGTGCTGTAGATGTGGTAAAGAGCTTGATGTACTACCAGCAATAAGGCAATATAAAAAAAAATCTCTAGATTACAGGAATATAAAAAATTAACAGAACTGTTTTTTTCTTTCATTTTCTTTTAGATTTTTGAAGAGTATCACTGTTTCTAAATTTTAACAGTGACTACTCTGAGAATCTGTTGGAGGCAGTTAAAAATATGTAACAGATCAGAGTTAATAAAGAAATCTAAACTAGAGTGCTTACAAACCATTATTAGCATTGTAAAATTCTATGTCTTTCAATAAATGATAAATTGCTCAATATTTCTCATTTAATTCCATCGTGTCCACTGCCTGATGTTGTGTTTGAAATTTTTAAATGTATATTTTGGTTTTACATTTTACACTTAGCTCTACTTTTTCTACTTGAAGCAATTTTTACAACAGTAATTTAATTTAAGCTCAATACTTTTCATACTATTTGACAGGTGAACATTTAGAACTCAAGCCTACTGATATCAAGGTCATAACAGTGACCGCTATTTCTTGGAGAAAAGAACATTTAAAAACCATTACATAAAACCTAGCATGACTGTCAAAAAGTGTTTGCCAGTAGATGTATTTATAATAAATTCTACTGTTTGGGTTATTTTAACTAAACAAATGTTTTGTAAATGCTTTCTTTAGCAATCCAGCAAAATTTCTGGGAAATGAAGATCTTAGCAAAAACTAGCACATGGAAATAATTGGGAAATCACTACTGTGACTCTGCAGGGAAAAATAAGATTTTTCTCTAAAGCAAAGACCTGGAACACGCGTCACTTTAGAGTGTAATCTCTGATGAAACCACACCCTAAAATATACCCCCTGCTACTGCCACAGAGCACCACGAATAAACTTCTTTATCCAACTACTGTAGTTACTGCCCAACACAATATATCTATCTCCCTGATATTACAGACAAAATTTGAATCTGTGTATCCCTTTTCAAGGAGAATTTATTAACAAAGAAAAGTAGGCAAAAATGAATAAAACTCTGAAATATTAGAAGAGGAAAACGTAGGGGTCAGTAGTTAGTAAGATGAGAAAGACAGAGACTCCTGGTCTGGACTATACAAATAAACAGATATATGATTCTGGTTAAGACACATACATTACTTAGGCCTTAGTTTTCTCATCCCTAAAATAAAGAGGCTAGAACATATTTTCCTTCAAATACACAGAGTAACACAATGTCTTGAATAAAACTACAAGAAAGAGATTACAGAAAGGGCAGTTTAGTCTAAGCACCTTTGACAAAACGTCCTGACTTCAAGGACCTGAAGCATGACGATGCCATCAAGGCTGCTGGTCCAATATTTCTCTTCTCGTTGTAGTAAGGTTATGATAGACAAGCACCTAAGATACCATATGATCCTAGGTGGTTCATAGAAGTTTTCTTTTTACTTCTGCATTACGTGAATGAAATGAATAAGATGTACCAGAGCATATGTTAGAAGTATAAATAAGTTTCTGGTGAATTCGTGAAAGATATTTGTGAAATATGATGTTATTCCCCTTTTCTGTATTATTTAGAAACTCAGAATTTAAGTGAAATGGCATAATTAAGGTTCATTTTTCATCCCTAAACTTGTTATCTCATGAACTGTAGCTTAAGTTAGATTCCCAACAGAAAGAGCCATCTGGAAAAAGACAGAGACTTACCAAGAAAGGAAGAAAGAAAGAAGGAAAACAAAAATGAGATATTAGGATGAAATCTGGACGTAAAAGGGGAGCATCATCATATTATTTCTCTTGTCAACATTTCAGAAATGTTGGTTATATTTTAATCCACAGTACCAATACCTATTACTATGGTATCAAAAAGTACCTGCTAAAAGTTTTTAACAAAAATAAATCAGGAGGGTGGGTGACTACAGGAGATTCATGATTGACAGATAAACTGATATATGCATATAGAAAGAATGAAAACATTAAGCCAAACAATTAATGGGAGATAAGATATTTAAGTGAGGTAGAAACATAGGACGTCAGAATATAACTGACCATTATAGTTGCACACAAGAAATACACATATTTTTAAAAATATGACAATAAGTTGTAAAAACAAAGGCTGAATTACAAATTTCCTGTGTTTTTTGAGACATATAATTATTTTGCTATGCCATGTAGTAATGGGGCATATTGTGAGGCATAATAAAGTAAAAAAAATAAACTCCTGACAGCTGAACAATAATAAATAGTTAAATTTATTCCTGTGAGAAAGTATACCTAAAATATTTAATCTGATATTCCAAGCAAAATCAATGTTAAAATTTCATTTTTATTGTATATTTCTTAAGTATGTGAAAATCAAAACTTAAAAACAAATGATATTATGGTAGTAATCTGCCAATGTTTCTAGTCTAAATACCTTTACAGATGAGCTACACTACTTATGACCAATGTTAATCACAACATAGTATATAATATTCTGCTCCTTAGAGTCTATTTCTATATGCTGCCTCCAACCAGTTTAGTTTATTTGAAAATGAGTGATAAGTAAGATGAAAATTTCCTTTTAAAAAGCAGGATTTATTTCAGTATCAGAATATTGACTCAGGAATAACACTTTAAGTAGTGACTGACAGATGCGTTGCTGTGACTTCCTGAACTCATCTAAAGTTTCTAAGACAGATGTATAGACTTGGGAATTTAGCAAATGATACAATCTATAATTTAACAATATAAAGATTCATTAACTATATTTCAGTTTCAATAAAAATGGACATATATTTTTATAATAACTTATTGGTATATTTTTATTTAATTAAACATTTTTAAGCATTCTTGGTCTTCACCATAGAAATGTCTACTTCAACCCTGTTTATCTTTATGAAAGTCCATAGTTATAGAACTTCTGATTCAGAGAGTGAAACCAGCTACAGTCTGTTGTCTATAAAAGTCCATAAAATAAAATATTGTTTATTGAAAATGGTGGTGTTTTCATATTCAAATAAACAACTAAGAAAATAAAACTTCCATTTCATTCCAATAACAACTTCCTTATGAAGGGTGTCTGAATATGTGTGTATGTGTGTGTGTGTATATGTGAGTGTATTTCATATACATTTACATGCAAGTATGTATCTTTTTGCTATTGTATTTGCTTTTTAAAAATATTTCTTGCTCTTAGAAGATGTGTCATCATCCTGCAAGAGCAGCAGCTCTGCACACTGTACCATAGGAACTGTTATGACATGCCTGTTTCCATAGTTACCACGGCGAGTGGGAGAGGTGTCTGTCAGGGACCAATTTACCTCGCCAGACGGGCACTGCCACCAAAGAGAAGACATGGTGCCCATAAATCTTAACTAGGAACCAAAATGGAGCAACAATGAACAAAACAAAACTGTACTAAATACCAAGGGCCACCACAAAAACTAAAACATACACAAAAAGCCATCTATAAATGAATGTGCTTCACCACACACACACATAAGTATTTTCAACCTGCTATTAAACCAATGATCAAGAGAAATTTAAAAATTATTCATTTTGCCATGGACAGTGTTAAATACAGCAGTAAAGTCTATAATAATATTTTTAAAATCTATGAATTAAGAGCAAATATAGTTTATAATGCCAAAAGTAAGACTTTTGGCTTCTTTGTCTACTTCAATAAAAATAATGGTGCCTGGGAAACAATTCTGTTAAAATAATATGAATGAAGTGCAAATCTTTTAGCATTTATAGAAATTAAAATTACTGAGGAAGAATTCTGGGAGGCATGATATCTAGAAATAAAATTTCCTGCATTTTGTCTAAGTTAAACTAGCTGGAACACCTTTAATAGTGGTAATGCAGAGAAAATTTTAAAAATAGAGCTACAGAAAAATAGTTATAAAATATTTTAATACATCAAATAAAAATGCATTTTTATTCATTGAGAATAAAAAATAAAATCTTAAAAGAATTAATTCTTACTCATAAGATAATTCAAAGTTAAGGCTTGAATGACAGAAATATAAAAATTTAGAAAGGAAAGTACAAGACTTGCAGCTTTAAGAGTAATTTTCAAAATGTGGCTACTTATTAGTTCCAGGTGTTGTAAATGCATATTTTACAATAACTCATGTTGACAATATATGTGTACATCTTAGGTGTATTCTCTGAGAACACAGCTAAAATTCTAAATTCACATTAATAGTCAAAGTAAGGCTGCCTGTGCTCTGCTTATTTATATCTCCTGTGCTTGGAAACAGCTTGTTCATTGTAGATTATTCTAAGACTTGCTGGGTGTACCCCTAGAGAGCCTGAAAACAACATTACACACAGGATTATAAAAGGGTTTGAAGGTACTAAATACCTGGGGATTGGATCCATCAAATCCTTCCTCATAAATGATTCTCTGGATAAACTGCAGCAGCTTTATGTAGCCATGGGTCAAAGAGCTGTAGTAAGAAGTGGTTCAAATATATAAATTGGCTTATTACAAAGGACATATAAATGTAAGCTAAAACAGTAAGTAAATAACTAAAAGGTACACATTCATGAGATTATTTAAATATAATAGAAAATGAGCCAACAAAAATAAAGTCAGTGCATCCAGGGAACAAGATACAGTGCCTTATATTAACCAGCTCAGTGTTCCTGACATCACGGGAAGATAAAAACCTGTAGAGACTGAGATGACTTAATTATGTCAGGCTTAGTTACCTCCAAGGAAATTAATGATTTAATGAAGCAACCTAAAAGATGAAGCCACTACAGCTTTTCAGGAGCAATCATAGATAATTAACACATAGTGAATGAACCGCTATGCCAAGTATACCTGAATCAATGTGCTGATTACCTGAGCTCATTGTCCATCAAAAGTTTTAATTTTCTTAGAACAAACTGCTAAAATAATATTAATTCAAAAACCTGAATTAAGACAAATAAAGATAGGTTACCATAACTCTACTTCATTTGTAAAAAAAGACAAAAATAAATGTATAAAAACTTAAGATGACCTAAATTATTTCTCACGTGAGTATTAGCGTTGTTACTATTTTAAAATACCTTACAAATGCTATTAAACATCTCAAAGAAAATTTAGTAAGAATGAAGAAAAGCTGCTTTAACATTAACTGAATTTAAGATTTTTCATAATGGACAACCTGTGTGCTATGGCTGAACATTAAATATGATAATGAGGTCTGGAGCATAGCCAGTTCACAAACATCAAAGTGACTAATGTTGTGAAAACTGTGGGTGTCCTTAAAAATACAAAAGTATCTGCTTTACTGTGATCTGAAATAAAGTGACCAGGTGGGCAGAGGAAACACCCTAAAGAAAGAATGAAATATAATTTGAAGCATGCCTGCAACATTAAAAAACATAAAAGTTAGTATAAACAGCAGACTGCTTAGTGTGCAAAATCAATGGCCAGTGGTTCAGCAAAAATATGAGCACACCTCTAAACATTTTATTGAACATTCATACCTAGCCAGAAGTACCTATTTAACAAAAACAAATAAGAAAACCAAGAGAAAAGAATCCTGTTCTTTGCAAAACAAATGTGGCTCCAACTGAAGGATTTGGTGGTATAGTAATTTCTCATATAGTTATTTCTCCCTTTTCAATGAAAATACAACGAATTACATGAACACATTTTTCTACTTCCATGAGTGAGAAAATATGTCTATAAATAATGCTATTCCATAAGGGCAGTGATGTGATTATTTCATATCTTAACATAGATTTGTCCTTGCTTGCTCAACTTTCTGAACAGTGTTGCTATTTGAACACAGAAGATTTAATTCCTATCTGGGTCAATTAGTTTTGCACAGGGGGTAAAATCTGCTGCAAGGTTCCAGATTATGAAATGAATTCCAGCCAACCATTTGACGAATGCCACTATGGGTTAAAGGAGGGCGGATCAAGAATATATTCAGTGCATCCTAATCCACCACTGATAACACCACCAACAAAAAAGCTTGGGTAAAAGGAGACAAGACTTCATTTGTGAAAAGATAATATACAAAAATAAAATAATGTATATATAAACTTAACTGAGTGAATGAAATATTAACTCAGATAATCAGCTCAATTTGTTTCTAATAAGACTATTTGATTTTAATTTTATTGATTGGTAAAATGTCTGGTACATAATAAAACCCCCAAACCTTTCACATCACTGTCACATTATATCATTACAATAACCTTGAAAGGTTAGTATAGTGATCAGCTCCAGGTTGAGAAAATTAAGACCCATTAGAAGCTAAGTGATTTGCCCAAGGTTGCACAATTAAATGATACTTAAAACTCAAGTTTTCTGCCCTGGCCGGTTTGGCTCAGTGGTTAGTGTTGGCCTGTGATGCAGGAGGTAACCAACTGATGTCACATCGATGCTTCCATCTCTCTCTCTTCCCCCCTTCCACTCTCTCTCTGAAAACCAATAGAAAAAATATCCTCAGGTGAGGATTAAAAAACACACAAAAACAAACAAACAAAAACCCCAACAAAGCTCAAGTTTTCTAAAACTTCAAGTTATCTGCTCTTTGGCTAAACTAAGATACAGCTTCAGAGTGAGATCCAGATTCCATGAAAAGTCTGTGGGTTCAAATTAACGTGTGGCTGAGATGAGGTCTGAACATGGCTCCATTAAACATAGTCACATAAAGTATTCAGGTGCATAGTTTTAGGAAGATATTTCTCTTAGTTGTACTGATAAGGCATTCACTTGTACTGTGTGCTTGTTACTGGACCTAATATGAGGGGAAAGTTTACATGCATGAGACAGGCTGGCCTAGTAGCTGTAATGGTCCAGATGGGTTAAGTACCTGCTGAAGTGTGCAGGCTCACGCCAATTGATAGAATGTTTATTAGACTTGGTGCCTTAGACAGAATGATGTCAGGTGGAGTACATTTTTGCGTTGAATTGAGTGAAATTGCCAGAATACTTACGTATGCAACAGCACATTTCTCTGGTGCTTGAGGATGAATTAGGAATAGGTACCGCAACAGTTGATGGGATAGCAACAGCAAATGCAGTTAAGAGCTTGCTGAGACTAAAAAGTGTTGTACACTGTTTTCTACCTACTACCATTCAATAGTTGAAAATTATTTTCAAAATGTTGCAGTGCACCAGACACATGGCATGCATGGTAGAAAATGAATGTGAAGATCCCAGCCAGGAGACTATTATCATCCTCTATAAATTCATTAAGGGAGCTATGGCTTTAATACAGTGAGGCTTGCTAATCTTCCAGAAGAGATTATTCAAAAGGGGCATACAAAAGCAAGAGAACTCAAGAAGATGGCTGCAATTATTTGGGGAAGTTTGCCTGGCTTGTGGAAAATCAACTATAGATGCTGAAGCTGTCCATAAGTTGCTGACTTTGATTGAGGAATTACAGACTACACTGAAAGCTTTGAGTTGACCTTTTTGACAAAGGGGGTAAATTCAGACAACATTATGATCTAATAAACTTTATTCTTTTTATTTTTAAAATGTTTTTATTGATTTTAGAGAGAGAAAGGGAAAAGGAGAAACATCAGTCTGCTACCTCCCAGGAATGTGCCCTGACTGGGAATTGGACCTGTGACCTTTTGGTACATGGGATGGCGCCCAACCAAGCCACATGGGCCAGGGCAAACTTTATTTTTTTTAAATATAAAAAAGTGAGGTTCAGGATATTAGTTCTTTCTATAAATTTTCAGATATTATCATTTTACTCTAATTATACCACCAGCTGATAAGCAGACAGGTAAAATCCCTCCTCACACTTACATCTTGCCTTTCCCCTAGCTCAGATATTAGTATTAATATATAATTCACTATATCTTTTTAATAAAGGAGTTTATAGTGTGCTTCTATAATTTCATGACTTTTGTTCTGAACTTTTAGTTAGAAACTCCCTTCCAAAATTCCTTTCTTAAGAGTGAATTTTCTACTTGTAACTTCTAAATACAGTGTGGCTCTCTGCTTCTCAATCTAAGAGATCTATATTGTTAAAATAAAATATATACTTTTACACGGCTATGTTTCGGTTATTGGTTTTATCCCACTCAATCTTTATACTAAGAGCAAGGCTCTAGTTAATCTGGGTTATTACCATACTTTGTGCATTGGTTCCCTAATTCACCAACTATCAACTCAGCGCCTGTGTCCCAGATTCAGGGAATAAACAGATGAAGAAAGCACAACCCTTTCCTCAAGGATTTCCAGTGCCTGGGAGGGAAGATGGGGATGCAGATGAGTAATTTCAGTGCGATGTGATGCGTCCTGACAGAGTAAGAACAAAAGTAGGAAAGCAGGGGGAGCATAATTACAACTGGGGCTCATATCAAGGTTCCATTTACACTGGCCCGAGACTTGGCAGGAGAAGAAAAGCGGAATGACTTCTAAAATCTTAAGTATTATATTCAGCCTCTTCGCACTGATTTTCTCCTGGAAAGACAACTGGTTATCTCAGAATTCAGTTCATTCAACTTAATCAATAACACACTTTTAGCAACTACAAGAAAGTACTAGCTAATGTTAAGATAAATATGTCAAAATAAAACCTTGAATTTCAAAGAAATAGATCAAAACAAATTTATTCTATTTACTACCAATAGTATATGAACTCAAGATTCAAGACATGATATATCTACAATAAAAAAAAGTAACATTTTACAATATAGTAGGTGTATTAGTCAGCTTCGGCTTCCATAACAATATACCACAGACTTGGAGGCTTAAACGACAGGAGTTTATTTTGATATAGTTCTGGAAACTGGAAGTCCAAGACAAAGGTGCTAACAGGGTTGGTGTCTGGTGAGAGCTCTCCCCTTGGGTTGCAGATGGATACCTTCTCACTGCGTGGTCACATGGCCTCTTCTGGATATGCACCCAAGAAGAGAGTGGGAGCTCAGTGTCTCTCGATCTTGCTTAAGGACACCAATCCTATCAGACCTGGGCTCTACCCTCATGGCCTTATATAACCCTAAATAACTCCCAAAGGCCCCTTCTCAAATACCATTCCACTGAGGATTAGGGCTTTAACATATGAATTTGGGACACAAAACGTTCAGTCATAACAGTAGGTTAAGGCGTATGTTGGTAGATTTATTAATAAATAAGAAAGTTGAGACACCATCCCTATGCTGAAGAGTGAGCCAGCCATCTTTCTTATAAGGAAACAGAAATGTGTTTGGGCATACCTGTTATAAAGATTAATTCAGAACGATGTCAGATTTTAAAAATCTTAGACTACAGAATTATTCTCAAAATTCATTTTTCTATCATTATTTTGTGACTTAGAATATCTGATTTATGACAGTAAAAGAGCAAAACAAAATCCACTGGATAATATTATTGTGATACATCTCAGGTTTTTATAGCCAGGCTTTAATTTGAAAGTTTAAACTGTATGTATGAACATTTTCTAAAGGCAAACCTACCAATAACTTTAAATTAGTTACTGCAAATTTTAAATGACCTTCAGTTTTTCTTACTGTAAAAAAAACCCTCTACGTTTCAACAGTCCCTTTAGAAATTATGAAATTATATGTTATATCCTCACATATGATAGTAGGATACAGCTATATCCTCTAGTTTTAATTATAGGAAAAGTATAGACAACTGTAATGCTAAGCTTTATTGTTTCATAAATGAACCAGTAAAGTTCATTTTAGTGAAATGAGCACACGCTTTTCATAAATTAAAATAAATCTCACATGGTAAAGTACCCATTTTCAAAATTAATTTAATTACATGTTTAAAGTTTAATTACATTTAATTAAGCATTTAAGTTTAATATGAAATAAATGAATTATCAGTTAACTACTATGAAATGAAATACTGCCTTGATAATTAAAATCTATAAATTTTCCTATTCTGTGTGCAAAACTGCTAGTCCTCAAAAAATATTCTGAAATATATATTTTAAAGACTNAATTTTCCTATTCTGTGTGCAAAACTGCTAGTCCTCAAAAAATATTCTGAAATATATATTTTAAAATATATATTTTAAAGGAGACTGTACTCTCACAGCCGACCTAGGTGTCACTTTTCTGGCACCCAGCTTTGTGTACTGTCCATTTGCTGCAGCAGTAAACAAGCAGCCTGGTGCAGAGCAGAGCAGAGCAGAGCAGAGTGTTTTAGAGGTTTGGGTTTGGGTGCCAGCTCAGTCATTCATAGTCAGTTGTGGGAAAGCTAGTTAGTGCCTTTAACCTCAAGCTTCCTATAAAATTGGGATAATATTACTTTTCTTGGAGGGTTGTTGGGAGAATTAGATATCCTACGGTCAGATGCCTGGAACAGTGCCTAACACGGAGCAGGTTTTTGACAAATGTTAATTTCTTCTCTCTCTAGCTGTTGAATGAATGAACAAAAATGTTGTACTTTCTGGCTTAAAAAAAAGTGTAATATATATATTAATTACAAAGTATCACCATATTATTTTTCATGCATTTACATCATACTTAGTATACATTTTAGTTTTTATTTCCCTAAGCACTCCATGAATGGAGGCAGGGTAGCATTATTGCTAACAAAGATTTCTGAGACACCATTTACTATTTATGAAATGATGGAAAAGTTATTTTGACCCACATGTTTATATTTTTATCTGGTTCAGTGAATGGCAAAAGTTAGGTACTAGAAAAATCAATATAATCAATCAAACGTAACCAAAAAAATTAGTGATGTAGGTAGGACAAATGGTATTCCCCACACCTCAGTTTTTCACAGAAAGATAATTTAGTTCCACTGACTTTAAGGAATTTGCTGAAGGTTAACAGTAGGACAGACTCAGTATCAAACCCAGATTTTTAAAAATTTCTTTGTCAGCACTCTTTCCTCCATAACACAGGAAGGTCAAGGTGAAGGACACCAAAGTCTTTTGAAGCAGTAAAGCAAAAAGGGAAAGAGAGAGATCTTTCGGCTTAGGCTAATCCTGTCTCTAGCACTTAATAGTTGAGCCTCAGATATACCTCTTCTGTGAATTTCGGTACCTTCTTCTGGAAAATGGGAATATTTACTTTTACAGGATAGATAACAAAGGTAAAACACGTACTAGAGTGACGGACACATAGCAGTCATTCATGAACAGTAGCTATTAACCCTAAGACAACATCAAAGCCCAACTTTGGGTAAGTCTCTAGCCACTGACTAAACACCATAATGAAGTAAAGAATTTCTTTTTGAAACAGATTTAATAAAAAGAAATAGTACAGACGTCACGAAATTCTTATGTAATATTTCTGGAAAAGAGACTATAGATCTTTAAGTAGTTCTGGTTCACAACTTCCTATCTATTAAATCTCCATTTAATAACTCGTCTCGCTTTGAAAATAATGGTTTAATAGTGAGAAAGAAAACAGAGGCGACAATAGATTCCATGAGTTACCTTCCCTTACTCTTAACCTTTATAAATTATTCAATGTCAAGCACTGCAGTTTTCAGAGTTTTGCCTTAAAGTTACTAGCACCATAAACACGCATTGGTTAATACAACTCTTCACTGTAAAACTCAAACCTTAAGTTCTCTTAAGTCATCTAAAAAAATAGATTATTCTATTTACAGCATTACTAGAAATAGAGAACCATAATAAATAAAATATTGGAAAGCGTACTTGTTTACTTTTTAAAAGAGCACTTACCAAAAAACATGGAGCAATAGCTTTACTTTATACCATTTTCACTGCTATTGCTATCAATAATTAATATTTAGATATCTATTTGCATTTACCACTGAAATACCCTGATTTGGAACTATTTTACAGTTTCTTGAAAATGAAGACAGCAGGTATTTGTAAATTTGGTGTCCAGACTTTTTAAGTTGCAAATTAAGAGTAATAGTATGTCCAACAGTTACAAGACTGAAAAAAGAAGAAAACTATATGAAATAATATGAAACATATGCTCAATCAAAGTTATATATTATGTAGAAACTAATATTTATTATTAGGATATGGACTTTTGATATGCATCCTTTCAAAGAATGTGGTAGAAACACATTCTATTAACCTTTGAAATCAAAATTGGGTCATTAACTTACCAAGGTTCTAGGTTAAGAGTTGAAGATATTTTTTCTGGAAGAAAAAATCCATGCCATTTTGAAGCCTCAATTAATTCTCGTGGTATTTTTTTTGATGCATCATAATAGTGACCAAATCTTGAAGATGATACTGGTCCAGCCTGTTAAGAAAACCCATATTTGTTGTTAAAAAAAATATTGTTTTTTTAAAAATTATAATTTATTTTGTCCTACACTCACCAAAATGCTGACATATTTATGCATTTTAATACTAATGAAGAAAAGCTGATATACATAGGAATTCACTTTCAAAGAAACATATAAACAATCTTTATTATTTTAAACTACACAGTTAGAAATCAACCTTTTCATTTCCCATGTTTCTTTACTCCTGGTAGTTTCATAAGCTTGATAAAAATTTAAAACCTCTTTAGCTTTTTTACTATTCTGTGTACCTTCCTAAATTAAAAATGTCTTAATTTTTTTTTTTAATTCCAGGTTTTAATGCCAAATATATAGTAGCTAAGAATCAATGAAAACTTAAGCCAAATTAATTCATGGTGAGGAGCGCAAAGGAAACTAGCTCTTTAAATACATTAAACTGAGCATCATTTTAAAACTAAATTCTCACAAGACAGTGTGCATATATATTCAACATCTCTTATAAGCTTAATGGTTAAGCTTATAGTATAAAATGTACTAGGGTGCTCCTGATGGGAACAAAGTACAGAGAATATATATCAGCTACATTAGAGAAATCAGAAATCTGCATAATCATTAGTGTACTGACAATTCCTCTTTTGTGTCCTCTACTAACAATTTACTAACAATTTCTCCAACAAATTATTTTTCTCTTAAGAAACTCTAATAACTACTGATGCTGAATTTATTTATATAGGATAGTAAAATCCTAGTAACATAATATTATTCTTATGTTGCTTCGAATGAACTCTGGGCTGATTGCTTTCATTCAGCACATTAGAAATATATACACCTCTATCCAAAGTTGAACTAACTGGTTCCACCCGGCAGTATTTTCTAAGGAAATCTCTGATCTAAATTTACATAATTGCAACTGTCCTGAATGCTACAAAACAGACAAGTTTCAGAATATTCAACAAACTAGGTAGTCTCTGCAGAAATTGAAGAACTATGCACAGTAGGTTCTTATTTTACTAAGGAATTAACAACTTTGTAATTTAAATTGGAAATAGACATTTGCTTGACACTACATATTTGCATTTTTAAGACTAAGGATTTATATTGTTAAGTGAAATGACACACATCGAATTATACAGTAACATAAAATAAATTTTTTTTTTTTAAGCCTAATAGAGACATTATTCTCAGACTCAGAGTCTGTGGGTTTAATATTTATTTTCTAATTAAAATGATTGTTCATCCCTCCATAAGCTACTGTTTATTTTTGTTAATGAAAGAAATCTATTAATTGGCCTTATCTAATCCTTCCAATACAATATACAGAAATATAGTTCCCAAAAGCTTTACCATGAAAGTATTTACCATGAAAGTATTGACTAATAAATTATGTGACATTAAAATTTATTTCTTGAAAACAGGGTGCAAAGTTTAAAAATGTAAAGTTATTAGTCTAAAGCAATTTAAACAAGGTCTGTTCTTTGGCCTATAATCTATTCTTTATCCGGATTATAGTTCAGAATGTTTTTACTGCAATCTCTGCTAGAGCTCATCTTTTTATTGTGTAAGTCCAAGCCCCCTTAATGTTTTAGAAAGGCCTTGACTAACTGAACTTTGATCTGATGTCTTCATTGAGAAAAACACCAGGTTGCCCATTTCAGATGCAAATCCCTCTAAGGCCCAATAGAATTCAGTAAAGACAGCAAAAAAGAAGAAACAAGAAGTTTCCAGGATCCTCTTTGAGAATCCTGGGGCACACTGGTGTCCTTAATCCACACTGCTGCATGGATTAAGGTAGGTGATAACCTTTCCCGATTCAAAAGAATAAGCAGAGTGCCTACAAACTGGGTGGAGACTAGGATTTGGTCATAATAAAACACCATGCAATAAAAGCTTGGTCTATGTCAGAAGCCTCTGAAAAGGCCTCAATGTACCACATTCCCAGGCCTAGTAGGGAAGCTTGCAAAAGCCTACCTGAATCAAATAAGCATGAATAATCTATTTTAGCAGGCTGGCCATGGGGAGAGAGAAAGAAAGAGAGCCTTTTCGCTTCTTTTAAGTTTGAGTTAATAAATTTATTAGTGGACTGAAGTTCTTGAAGTCCTGTGCACTCAGAGAAATATGCTAAATTGTCAAAAAGCAAAATACGCTTTTTAAGTTGCGGGTCTCTATTAATATTTCTAATTATATTATTAATGTGATAGAAATCTCAGATTTGGATTGAATCAAGGCAGAAAATTGATTTCATGCTGTGACAGTTTACATATAGAACACATATAGTTCATTAAAATGTAAAAATAAATTTGGAAGCTTTTATTACAATTGCTACTTATAGTTTTAGACATTACAATTAGTTATGAAACTAAAATATCCACAAGGAAGATACTAAAAATTTTATTAACGATTAAAAACTTTAATCCTTCAACAAAAAATGAAAATGAAAAATAAATATACTCTTCAAGGAAACAACAATTTTGTAAATTTTTTTCTACCCTAGAGACCTAGTATTAACATATAATCAGACTTTTGAAATGCTGTGAAATCTTATGAGGACTAGAATTATAAAACAAAAATTTAAAACATTTCCTCTGAAAAAGATAACTAAATGCTTTAAATTTAATAATAATATTAGTAGTAATACTCCGCCCAAAACTCTCAACTCTACACCCAAAAACTATCTATTTTAAAAAATCAAATTATCATCAATAACTAGTTGGTTTTATTCAGTTTAGTAAGAACATCTTGCTTTAGTTTTACATTATGAAAACTATTGCACATTCATAAACTAACCATTAACTTGTTAACTGTGGAAGAGGTAAATCGTAATGGTGCAGTAAAAATTTACTACGCTAAAGGAAAAGAAACTGATGGGGGATAGGGGGACAGGCAGAAGGAGCACTTCCCCCCACCTCCAGTATGTCAGAAAGAAACAAAACGTTCAGAGAAAAGCTGTACCTCAAATAAACAGTCTACATAAGACTGTTACTTACGATTGTTACCATTTCTTCTTTCTCAGTATGGCATGTTGGAAAGCAAGAACCCAAATAAATGGTTATTAACCACTTTGAGCCTCAGTTCAAGCACCAGAATTAGAGCAAATAATGATTACACTGGGCTGTTATGAGAATCTAATGCAATACTGGCATGCATATTCTGTAAATTGCAAAGCACTATGTAAATACTATTAATTATTATAATTGTGTCATGATCCACTAGTGGTCAGGAGATTCATCACTATCTTTCATAAATTCCCTGCAACACTGGAAAAAGGGTATTTGTTGTCACCTACAACATGCGCACATCTATCACAGGACTATTGTGGCTGAACCACTAAGGTAGAAAACCAAAGTGTAATGAAGACTGAACATAATAAACCTCTAATACACTGTCATGAATTGCTGGAGTCATTTGTAGGCCTTTGCAGTAGAGCTCTACAATGCTGAAGAAATTAAGTCTCAGAATATGCTGCAGGCTAGCAATTCTTGGGGTGAAGAGAGAACAGGGCACTTAGGAGACAGGATCAAAATCAAAGGGCGAGGAAAGCGGGCCTTTTTAAGACTCCACACCCCTCCAAGTGGAAGCGCTCGCTTAATGCTGTACTGAACTACTGGTGCTGATTCAGTTGTGCACATTCTTACCCTTTTTGACATTGCCTAAATGGCAACAGGACTACACTCTTAAGACTTCAAGACAACTTATGTTAAAAAGCATATCTGACCATTGACACAGCTAATTTTGGACTACTTGTTTAACCCTGACTCACTCACTCAGCCTGGCAACACTAGAAAGATTCTATATGGAGACTATGGAAGAAAGGAAATAATCTATTGTGGTTTAAAAAAAACTAATTTGCCCGGCCGGGCGTGGCTCAGCGGTTGAGCATTGACCTAGGATCCAGGCGATCGGGGTTCGATTCCCATTCAGAGCACATGCCCGGGTTGCGGGCTAGGCAGCTGATCAATGACTCTCTCATCATTTATGTTTCTGTCTCTCTCTCCCCCTCTCCTTTCCTCTCTCTGAAATCAATAAAGATATATTAAAAAAATAAATTAAAAAAAATTTTAAAAATTAAAAAAACACAATTTGCTATAATTTTATTTTTAAGAAATATGTCATCTTGATCAAATATGTTATAAGTAAAATATCTAGTTTATGCAAATAAAGAAATAGACATTATATTGCACTTAAGGAATAACAGGTATACAAGAGATTCCGTAAAATGAAAAATGCCATTTGCCTATTTCAGGAATACGTAGTTTGTACTTTGACTTGCCTCCATCTTGGGTAACAGCTGATAGCGCCAAGCTATCTTCATCTTAACGTTAGATTCTGCTGTTTCATGATTACGTACATCTTCATCAAATTCTTTTTTACAATCATCATCAAGTAACGGTGCAGGAAGTTCCTAAGAAAATAGAACAACACATTATTGAGCATATGTGGTAAAAGAGTATGACAATTTTCTTAAATAATATTAGCAATACAATACTATAATTGTCCGATGTAAAATTGATTTAAGCATAAAGTCATGACAAACAGAAATCTAAAACAGAGAAAAGGGATAAATAAAATATTAAATGTCCAATTTAAATTTTTAGCAATGAACTGGAATTTAAAGACAATATTCTAATTTTTATACTAATCAAAATCAATTGCTATTGCAACAAGGGGCTCTACTCATATTTTAAATTTATACACTTAAAGCAAAGTCTCAAATTAGCACTTATTACATGTAATTATTGTTATGTTTGCCACAAGGTAAAAATAAAGCTTGTGCGCAATCTGTTTACTGGTTTGTAATTCTAGAATTCAAAAAACCCATTCACCGAAATAATGGGTGAAAAAATAACTAAGAATAAAGACATTTATTTTGCCCAAATCAAACATTAGTTCTGCACCTGCAAGCTTATGCCTCTTCTTTAAACAATAAAAGCAGAATTTAAAATCTCTGCTTAAATGAAGAGATGATGAATTCCAATTTTACTTTTTTATTTAGAAGTTTACCTACTGAATGACTTAAAAAAAAAAAAAGAAAACAACTTTTTTGTGTGTGAAAAGGTACTATAGAAATAATGCAAAGAAAAAAGTATGTAAGTTTCTTGGAGAAGGAAAGCCCATGCAATAATTGTATATTTTATTAGCCAGAATCATAAAGATAATGTGGGGCACTGGATTAGGAAACATAATCTTGTGCTATATCATTAATAGTCTAAATTTCAACTTTTACTTTTCAAGATCAGATTTATTTATACTTAGAATCAAAACAACTAATCAACTGGAAAATATATTAACCATCATATATTTCAGTCATCTCCTAAAAGACCTCCAATTAGATTCACACTTTAATTTATGACAGTATTAGAAACCAGTTATATCATTTAAGCTCTTAATCCATCATTCCTAGAATAGTATTAGCATTTTACAAAGTATAAAGTAACTTCTTTTTCCAATAAAATAAATATTTTAAGGCATATAGTACAGTACGGCGTAGTGGTTATGAGTTTGAATTCTGCAACAAGATTGTTTAGGCCAAAATCTTGACTTTATGCACTAGTAGCTTTGTCTGTGGTTACGCTGAAACCCTATTGGACTTCTCTATGTCTCCATTTATAGCCTGAAGAATGGAGAAAAAAGTATTTATTTCATTGCATTGTTGTAAGGAAAAAATGAATTAAAAATGTAAACTATAGAGAATAGGGCATGCCACATGTTAAGCACTCAATAAATGTTTGATTATAGGAATTCAGTCAAATAATTGTCTTAACCATTACTCAGAGCCACATATTTTGACTGTCAACACCAGGTAATAGTATAAATATTTGGATTAACATTTTCTTCAATCTCAGGGACATTTAATAATACCTTAACAAAGGTATAAAATAAAAAAAACTAAAAAAACGAACCTCTCCCAAAATAATCATTAACATTTTCAACATATACTTATGTATATATATAGATATGTTAGACAAAATACTTCCATAAAAGCAGTGTATGATAAAATGCTATTAATGATTTTGTACTTCAATTTATAAAACAAAAATGAAGTAAACTTGAAAGAACTGTTGAATTTATCAATGATTCTTTACTTCAAGAGACATTGTTTCTTAACATATTCTCCTGTAAGTTTAGGAATGTGATTATGAAGCCTATCACTGTGTAGGAGTCACTATGCTCCCTTTTACATGTTTCAGTTTTCAACAAAATCAATACCTCTCCTTTCCTCCTATTAAAAAATGAGGAAATTAGCCCTTAAAATGCTTTCTCTCACCTCCTCCGCCCCAAGTGTAGATTTTCCCTACTATTTCTATGTCGTCAAGGTTTATGGCATTTACATCCTAGTGCGCAACCAAACAGAGTTTAGGTTTTTGTTGACAGGAATTCCTCATTGGACCTTTTACCACACTGTTCCACCACTCTCGAGTTTTCTTAATTGATAGCTGCACTCATTTAACAATGTCAGGAAGGTACTAGGCATAGAGCAGCAAAACAGAATAAAGTCCCTGCTTTCATGAAGTTACGTCCTAGAAGGGTAGTGATATGAACTTGGAAGGAAAAAGAGGAAAGGAATACAGAGTAATGGAAGGAGGTGCTACTTTAAGTAGGATAGACAGTCGATGAAGCTCTCCTTGATGAAATAGATTATATTTTCAAATATAATTTTACTCAACTAGAATTTTGGTTGGACATTATATTTCATAATATTTTTGTTTGCTTAGAACTTGGCAGATATTGCTTCACTGTCTTTGGACAAAGAATGGTGCGGTGGGGAAGTCGGAAGTCTTCCATCCTTGCAGGAGATTTGTTTTTTCTGCCTGAATATTTCTTCCTTTATCTTTGCAGTTCAATAGCTTAAATGGTCTATATTTATGTGTTCTGCTTTGTATTACTTCCCCCTTGTAAACTAGATGCCCCTTTAAGCTGAAGATCTTTAATTTCAAGTAAAATATTTTCATGTCTCAGGTTTAAAATTATTTTTCTGTTCCTAATACAAATTGTTCTTATGTCACCTACAAAATAAAATTAACAATATTTTTTCACTATAATTATTTAACTTATAAAAACAGTACCCAACTATGCTTGTAAAAAATCAATATTTATTGAATAGCTATTGATTTAAAAAGTAGTAAATGTTCAATATGAAAAATTGTAAAATAACAAAACATATAAAAAAGAAAACAATAACCTATTAACCTTCCACCCAGAAATAACTCTGAACATATTTGAGTATTTCCTTCCAGTCTTTTATATATATATATTTTTATAAAATGCATATTGGCATATTATAACATATATTATTTATATTCTATAATTATAATATTGTGGACATTTCCACATTTCATTATTTTTCAAAATAAGATTTTCAATGGCTGCATATTATATTATACAGCTTAACTAATATTTGGTTTATTATTTCCTATTTTAGGTTGTCTGCAGTCCAAAAATAATACAACAAACATTTATAACATATACCTTTTACATCTCAAATTATTGTCTCTGAGGTATATAAACATCTAGAAAATAATAGAGAAAAATATAAAACAACCCAGTTTCTACCTCTTGGCTTTAATAAATCTCAATAACTGGCATCACTGAAAAGCAAACCTGTAACTGCAGCAAGCAAGGAGTCACACTCTTGTGTGAAAACAGAAAAGACCCCCAGATCCCCTATCTCCCCCTCAGAGCCAGGATACTCCTCCTTCCCCCTCTGTGCAAGAGAAATGGAGAGGTCAAATCAGACAAACTTTAGAAGCAGGAGCACTGCAGAGGGCAGGGGTGAGACATCATATTGAAGACAGGGTAATGCTGAAATCTGCAGCAAGGGGCAAGACAACTTCCTCTTCCCCTTATACACAGACACAGTTGGATCCCACTGCTAAGCTCTCAGAAGGCCAGAAGCCATCCTTAAGCGGAACAGGCAGGAGTTGGGAGATTAGATTTCTCCCTGGGGAAACTGACAAAATTAAGACAAGACCTTTAGAAAGACAACACTAGCTAATCCCAGCCTCCAGAACTGTGAGGAAATAAATTTCTGTTCTTTAAGCCCCCCCAGTCTATGGTATTTTGTTACGGCAGCCCAAGCTGACAAAGATAGATTTTGGTACCAAAAAAATGGCTCCTGCTGTAACAAATAACTAAATACATGAAAATGGTTTTGGAAATGGATAATTCTAAAGGCTGGAAGAGTTTTGACATGCAAGCTGGAAATTAGAGAAGTTAAGGGTTATTCTGGTGAAGTCTCAGATGGAAATGAGGACCATATTACTGAAAACTGGAGGAAAGACAATCCTTGTTATGAGGAGGTGAAGAATTTGGTTGACTTGTGTGCTAGTGTTCTGTGGAAGATACTGCTTGGGAGTGATGAAGATGGATTTTTAGCTGAGGAGATGTCTAAGCCAAGTGTTGAAGGAGTGGCGTGGTTCCTCCTAAGTGCTTACAGTAAATGCAAAAAGAGAGAAATGAATTAATGAAGGAATTGAAGCAAAAAGGAAACAACTTGAATTGGAAAAATCTCAGTGTATCCATATTGCAAAAAATTAAAAGAACTTGTTCTGATGAGAACACTAAGTGTATGGCTGAACTACCATTTGATAAAGAGATCATGGGTGTGACACGAACTTAATCAGCCATCTCAGCAGAAGCCAGGAATAGAGATGGAATTATACCAGTAAGGCTACTGTCAGTTTGACCTAAAGGGACAAGGCAGAATGGCATTAAGGAAGTCTGTTGAAGCTCTTGGCTTTTATAGGTCTTGTCACTGAACAATTTGGCTTTGAACATGAGCTATCCTGCAAGGTAAGGGAGTAAGGACCCCAAACGTGATCGAGATCCTCAGAGCTGCCACTCCCATGATAGGCCCAGAGTAGAGAGGCATGGGAGGCAAGGTGGCCTCCAGCTCACTTTCAAAGGGTGGGAATGCAGCCCGCAGAGGCATGTGGGTTGTGCCCTGCCCAGCCAAGGTGGGGAGGGGTGACGCTGCCACCCCAATGGGCCTAGAAGGCAGAACATTGAACCAAAGAAGTTTATTCATGAACATTAAGAATGAATGGAATTTGCCCTGCTAAATTTTGGACTTGCTTGGAATCCGCCACCCCTTGTTACCTTCTGATTTCCCCCTTTTGGAACGGCGATGTCTGCCCCATGCCTGTTCCACCATTGGGTTGGGAAGCACAGAACCTGTCTGACTTTACAGATTCACAGGTTCACAGCTGGAGAGAAATTTTGCCTCAGGGCAGATCATACTTCAAGTTTCATCCAAACTTGACTTAGATGATATTTGGATAAAACTTTAGACTTCAGAGTTGATGATGGAGTTAGTTAAGACTTTTGGAGCTATTGGGTTAAAATGAAAGCATTTTCCATGCAAGAAGGACATGGATTGGGGGTGGGGGAGCACAGTCAGTCCAT